TCCTAAAATTTGAAATAGGCAACTACATGTTTTTAAAGACTTCACCAACCAAGGGAGTTAAGAGGTTTGGCAAGAAGGGAAAGTTAAGCCTTAGATACATCGAACCATTTGAGATTTTCAAATGTGTAGGCACAGAGGTTTATCAATTGGCATTACTGTGAAATATGTCTGATGTACACCTAATTTTTCACATATCCATGCTCAGGAAATATGTCCCCGATCCTTTGCATGTGTTTCATTATGATGAAGTCTAATTGCACGATAGACTGAGGTACAAGGAGCAGCCCATAGCAATATTAGATCAGCAAATGAAAGGGCTTTGCTCCAAGGATGTTGCCTTAGTGAAAGCATTGTGGCAAAGTCATACGATTGAAGAAGCAATGTGGGAACTTAAGGATGCTATGAGAGTTAAATATTCGTAGCTCTTTGAAAGTTGAGCATGAATTTGATGTAATAATGTTAAGTTAAATTCAAGGATGAATTTTTATAAGGAGGAGAGGATATAATACCCTTGATCTTGATGTTGAACATGTTAACGCATGTTAAGCTATTGAAAAAGCTTAAGTGAATTATTAAATCTATGCTTATAAATTCAAGGATATGCTTATGTCCATAGAGATATATATATATATATAATGTTCAGGTGTGTAAAAGCCCAAAATGATGTGTGCATACGTTTAGCATATACATGATATAGTGCATGTGTTTGGCACTTAAATGAATATAATCTAAGAGCAATTATGCTAGATGTGATTTATGTGATTTATGCATTATGTGACATAGAGCAAGAATGAGGATTTGAATTATGTGATGAGCTTGTGTGTTGATATTGGTTAATTTTGATAAATTCTAATGGGTAATGTAAATTGGAACGGAAATAAGTGTTAGACGTTTGAGCTAGGAATGCTCTAAGTGTTGGAAAAGTGCATTCTAGACAAGAAGTATCGATACATTGGCTCCATGTATTGATACACTGAAGGTAAGAAGAAGATAAGAAAGTATTTTGGGAAATATGTATCGATACATTGCCTCTTGTATCGATAGATTTGAAGAACATAGCAATGAATGTTATTTCTATCAATACATATCCAAATGTATCAATAGATTTAAAGAACGAAACATTTTGGATGAAACGTATCGATACATTGGTGGCAAAGAGCATTCTGTCTAAACATTATCGAAATAATGCCTCATGTATTGATAAAATTAAAAGGAACCCATGGAGATATATCGATACATTGCTAAATGTATTGATACATACATACAGATTGGCAAAACAATATAAGAACCTTGGGCAATCCGTCCATTTAAAACAAAAGCCAAATAAAACCCTCTCCCTTTGCTCTCATAACCTTCTTCCCCCACATGAATTTGAGGCTTGAAAATAGGCATTTGGAGGCTAAAAAATCAATCTAAAGGTAAATTTAAAGCTTGTTATCAATTGATTTTCAATTTGAACGGTTTGAAAGTTGAAAATTTTATGTTTCAATTTTAGTGGTTGTTGGAGTTGTAGTTGGCTGGAGATCTGAAGTTGGTATGAGCCAAATTGATGTTTAAGGTAAAAGAATCAGTCATTGTTGAAGAATATGAGAAACTTGAGTTTGTATGATGAATTATTAGAAATGTGCTATGTTAAAAAGCTGGAATTGCTTTGAAAGTTGGGAATTTAGTTATGAAATAGAGAATTAATGTATGAATGTTGATGAATGTGCATTGTAAATGCTAGATGACAATGAGAAGTAAGTGGTAAACTATTGAGCTGATATTAAGACTTTGGTGAGATAAATTGTGCAAGGTCGATAAAGGAACACTTGAAGTGTCAAGGTAAGGATTTACGAACTAAGAGCATGATGACTAAGTGTGCATGTTTGCTCCCTATGATAACATGAATAATGTTTGCTATGCTTATATGTATATGTACATGTCTAGAAGTAGAATTCGTAGTCTCATGTATGTTATGGAAGTAATATGATGTGCCTAAAAGGATTATGCCTAGGCTAAATATTAGCAATATGTGCATGAAATGAAGAACATACCGAGTCTAAATGATGTTGATATGATTATGAATCTAACTGATGTGGAAAGTGATGCTATGTTTAATGTGTTTATACTGTATGTGTTTAAATCTGTCATGTTTAAACTAGTGAATGTTATGAGAATTACATAAGAAGCCTTAAATAGTTATACCTAGGCTATTTATAAAATGTGGAATATGATTAACACTGAATTACGATTATGATGATATGTAATGTATAAGTCAATGGTCATATGATTATGAATGATGAATATGATCTGTCCATGGAAGATTCCAGATAATGAAATGATGTTAGATAAATATATTCTATTTGTGGATAATTTCGGATGATGTATGTTATGGGGTTAAGTATGCCCATATCCTTGTAACTATGTATGCTTCCAGTAAAAATAGTGGTACGCAAGGATAATGGTTTCGTACTACTTGTGATTCCTGCTCGTAGTGCCATGATGCCATCTGTTGAGTCTTTTCCAGATGCTGACTATGTCCTTCATCGTTTGCGTCTGCAATGAGGCATGACTATGATGAAATGTTGTCCGTCGTTTAGCCACCACACATGACTATGTTATGTCTAGGGAAGACCACTTAAAGATATGATATTATGACCATCTAGTGGCACGCCTTAGGATGTAAACATGTGAATTTATGTTATGATATTGGCTTTTATGAATAATGAAAATGTAAAGGCTTGAGGTAGGAGCTATGGATATATGTATGTTTATGATGAAAAATGAAATGCAAGCATATCAAGCGTAAGGGACTAGAGCTCATATTGATCCCTCATGAGGTAAGTACATTGAATATGTATGTAGACAGTCATATGGTGGGCTAGTTCATACAATAGATGGAAGTCAATAGCGGCTATAATGATAATGACTATGACAGGCAAGGTAGAAATAGTCAGGGGCAATTCAATACCTTTAAAGGTCTAAAGCAAGTAAATATTTAAATGAAGCCCTTACTGAGCAAAAAATAAATAAATTAGGCCCTTTTATTGAAATTAAAAAAAAATTATCATTAGTTAAAGATTATTAAAAGCATATTACATTCATTAAAAATAGAAAAAATAATTAAGAATTATTAGCATTATGGGAATTGGGAAGTGATAAAAAATAGAAATTTATTAAGCACCTAATTGGGAAAATGAGAGAATATGTAATTTTGTTAATTATTTTGACTTTCACAAAAGTGAAAAAGTAAGATAAATAGTTGAGAATTAATAAAAGATAAGCAGTGAAAGAAAATAAATATTTAATAGACACTTAATTTAAGAAATATTTTATTAATTATTTTAATATTTATATATTTAATATAATTAATTGTATTATATAAAATTATGGGGCCTATAAAATTGTGAGGCCTAAAGCAAAGGCTTTGCTGGCTTTAATAGCTTACTATTGTTATACGATAGAAAGGTATGTATGAATGCAGCATAGTATGGCTGCTCAAAAAATGATAGAATGCTTATGACAAGTGATGTCTGACTTGTTCTACTATTTTTACGTTAAGCTTACTACTATGTATGTATGTTTAAAGGATACATGTAGCAACTATCCTTCATATTTACAATTGTTATATGCTCCTTCTCATTAAGCATTAGTGTGACTCACCCTCTTCAATTGTATGTGCAGATAAATAGACACTGAGAACCGGGTGACTTAATGTTGTCTCCTACAGGCACGTAATTTTGGAAATTCATAGGTTACCATGCTGACAAGTCACTCCGTTGAGTCATAATCAAGTTTTACACTTCCGCACTGTGTAGACAATGTTTATATGTTAATATATTATGTTAGCAATGTGATGCCCTATGTTAAATGTATGAAAAGTCAGGATGACTTAATGAACTAACCAAAGTATGGCGGAGAATGATATTACGTTAAGTCTATATGTGTTTATGAGCCAAAGGAGTTATAAATGAATATGATGTACTAAGATGAATTTATGATAATGATGATGGCTATAAAGCCTTATATGGATGAAGGCTTCCTTAAGTCTCGTGAGGTTGTCTGTCGAGCTCATGCATGCTAGTCATGAACGCCCGGATTTGGGTCATGACAGAAAATATGATGCCAATAATAATAATGGAAGAATGAAATTATAGAAAAAAGTCCTTTAAACAAATGTGTCTATTCAAGAGTTATGTTTGTTCAAATAATTATGTCGAGAACCAAACAATTATATTTGTTGAAATATGGACAATTGAGTGTTTTGGAAATAGGCCTTTGTGTTTTTGGGAAAAGACATCTTTATCTATAAATATCACTTTTTGGTTTTCTGAATAGGAATAAAAAAGAAAAAGAAAAAGAACAATTAGAAACAATTCACAATCATTCTCTCCATCATCTTGAATTCTTCTTAGATTGCTTCTATACTGTTTTATTGTAAAAAAATTCTATAAGAGTTTGATAATTTTGTCATACATCAATGAGTGCTCAATGAATTGATTTTGAAAACACAATCAATCATTAAATTTTATTATATTTTCAATATTTATATGTTGATAACTCGTTTACATAATATAAGTAGAAATGAATAAAATCTTTAAAAAAAATTAACATAGATATACAGGCTGTTGATGACTTAGGAACTCTTTTCGGCTAAGTAAATGTTTTTGGTGAAATGTTTTTGGTATTGACTGGAGCTGTACAGGGTGGGCTTTCATTGTGTAAGAGAGGTTTCAGGCAATGGTTATATAGGGTGGGTGGTTTATATGGGTCAAAACTGTGTGCTTTCCTACGTAAGGCTACAAACTTATGTGACCCCATTGAATTATTGAATCAATGAAATAGTTCATGACTTAGCAAAAACCAGATATACAGGCTGATAAATTTTCAACAGTTCAATATCTCTTCCTTGCATCACCAAATGACATTTCCGATTATGAATAATTCATTAGTTTTTTTTTCCCCTTATAGAACAACTTTTTTCTGTAAACTTAACAAACTAAATGACATTCCCCAGGTTACAAAAGCAACGGCAGTTCAAGTAGCAAGAAATTATTTTCTTGAGAATGTACATTGAAAACATCTTTGTAAGACCGAAGTTATTATTACAGAATATAACACACAAATAAAATAGTAGAGTTGTGAGGCAGCAAGTAATCAGAGAGATTTGAGCATGTCTTCAGCACTGGAAACTTTGAACTGGCCACCAGATTCCACGTTAGCAACTTTCACTTTAAGATCATCAATCAGGAGAGCAAACCTTTGTGACCGAACTCCAAAACCTCTGTCAGAGACGTCAAGCTCAAGACCAAGAGTTTTGATGTAAGCTGCAGAGCTATCAGAGAAAAACTTGACATGCTTGTTTTCGGGATATGACTTTGCCCAAGCCTTCATCACATATGGGTCATTTACTGCAACAGGGCCCAAAATTTTTTGGGAGTTTCATAATAATTAAAGCATAATTTGGTCGTGCAAATTTTGTCATAAGTTGGAAGAAGGAAAAACAAACAATTCTTAATACCACTGATTAAGAAAATCTCACTAATGCCTTTTGACTTCAGCTCCTCTGCTCTTTCAATGAATCCTGGAACATGCTTCAAGCTGCCAATCATTTTGGAAGTTTCAAAATGAGGACAATATAAATGAGATTTAAGGCCCCATCTATAGAAAATTTTCCTATAACAAACTTCAAAGTCAGTAAAAAATTCTGAGAATGTTAGAACTAAGAATGAATATCTATTAGTTTAATCGTAAGTTTTTAAGATAACTATTTGATCAAATCTTTAATTAGATTGTAGTCGTTTTGTAGTAGCAAATCAAAAGGGCAACATGTTTGGTGGAAAAGAAACTAAAGAGACTTATAAGTAGAAGAATAAGCACTAAGCAAATTAATTTCCCTTTGCACTTTTCCACACCATAATAAAAACAAAGAAAAAGTAGAAGTAAACTCGTAAGCATTTAAATAAGGTTTTACCTGCATGTGGGTGTAAAGGCACCGGGAACTCCGAAGAGAATGACCTGTTTACCGGCAGCAAGGGAGTGTACGGACACGTTTAGAATCTGATCAGCCTCATCAACATAGGAGAGAGTGCCATCGGGAATTGTGTCACGAGCGCGGTACAAGTCATTTTTTGTCCCTTCTCTTTTTGCCCTTTTTGCAAAGGGATGGATGGTGGGGAAGGGGGAATGAAGTCGCATGTTTAACGTATATCGGTATATGTAAAGAGGAAGAATGTGTGTTGGAAGGAAGGAATCAAAGGTGGTGGGCAGCGATGAGTAAAAAGACAAGGGAATGTGGACTAATGATTGTGTTTGGTCTGAAAGAAGGTGGGGAATGTTTGTCTATCATGGCTTTTGATTACGGAGAGCAAGTCAAGGAGAGTAGGAATGACATATATATATATATATTATGGTAGTATGTATATGCTTTCGCCAATGGGATTGACTTTTAACAGTGCTAGGATTTAACCATCATTTCACCATGACTCTAATGCTAGAGACGAGTTCTTGCTGAAACGGTTCATCATCAAGGGTGCCCTTCCAGCTTTGTCGTGACAACGGCAAACAATCTTGAAAGTGAATAATTGAGGTTTTAACTTTTAAGATTCCATCTGGTTTTTCAAACAAAAGGATCTAACAAAATGAGACACTACTCAATAATTTTGTACTGGAATTAAATAATTTCCAGATCATAATTATAGATATGTTTATTGTAATTCCGGTGCCTTTCTTTTTCAGATGACGCAAAGGGTTCAAGACCGACAATTAAGTCTGTTTCAGAGTGCCAATATTTTTAGTCCAACATGCTTTGAATGCACTGAAATTTGAAAATCCATTGGGAACTACTTTCTGATCAACATTGGTGCTTAAAAATATATATTTACAGATAGCGGGATGGCCAGAAAATAAGAAAAGGACATTTTTAATAAATTTAGTTATCAAGCAGCTGCAAACATTGTTGAAGGTAAATCAAAGACTCAATCATCAGACCAACCACTATATTCTGCAATCTAGTAAAATACTGTAACAAAATACAATGTAAAAAGAGGGTAAAGAATGGTATATGGCACAGATTTTAGAGAAATTCACACAAGTAAAAAGACGATGCGGAATGAAGTGATGGTTTCAAAAACTATATTCCTAGCTAGCTACTAACACCACAGACTATGCAGGCATATTTTAACTGCAACAGTCATTCCAAGACTTGAAACACTCATCAAGCTAGCAAATGTCAGGCCCTTGGATCACTGATCTTCTCCATCCTTCAAGCCATTCCCTTCATCTCTATCCTTGGTCACTAGATTAGACGACTCTTCTTCCTTCGTCACGCCATTCCCTGCATCGCTTACTTTTTTTACTTGTTCACCACAAGGTCCATAAGCCCAGGCACAAACAAAGTAATAAAGTAGATTGATAAAGCTCAATACAGCGAGAACCCAATAGTAATTGTCAATACGACCTTTGTTTATATTACTTGAAACCCAACTCTCTTTCCCGCCTCTTGCGGTAATGTCATCAATAATGCTCACTACAACACTAGCTAGCACATTTGCCACAGCCAATCCTAGTCCAAAGAGAGCAGCAGCAATGCTTGACATACTCTTGGGGACCTCAGAATAAAAGAACTCTGTCTGCCCTATCGCGGTGAAAGCTTCAGCTAAGCCATTCAAGCAAAATTGTGGCGCAAGCCACATAGCAGACATGTCCAAAACCGCACGAGGATTGTCTAGAAACCCATCCCTAATTGCTTTTCTTCGTCTGGCATTCTCAACAATTGCTGAAACTACCATGGCCATGCAGGTAAGGAATAGCCCAATCCCCATCCTTAGTTTGACACCAAGCCTTACCGGTTTACCCTTGATCTTCGATGCCATGGGAAGAATTGCACGGTCATAGAGAATGACCCATAGTGCTAGGGAAATGATGTTGAACATGGCATAAGAGCCAGCAGGAATCTGAAACTTCTTTGTAAGGTATCTGTCCATAGAGGTAGCCTGGAGCACAGGGAATGAAGTTTGGCTTAAATTTATTGACATGATGATCCCTGTAGACCACACTGGTAAGACCTTAATAAGTGCTTTTAGCTCTTCTACTTGCTCTACTGTGCAAAGACCCCATGAGTCCGAAGCTGAGCCGTCCGGGGCTATGTCTTGCTCGGGGTTTCTGATGATGCAAGCTTTGTTCAAAAACCTATAAGCATAAAAGCAACAAAGTCTATAAAAAGATACGAGCACAATATCGAAATGATAAGGGAAAGGGATAGTGCTATAATCGAGTCGTACCTTAACTTGTCAGTTGGTGCAACAATCTTTGAATCCCTTTTGTGATGGTAACATTCACTTGAGTTTGGAAGTGGAAATGTCAGGTTTCTGTTTTTATAAGCAACAACAACCACTTGCACAAAGCCAGTTAACAAGCTCCTGCTTGCTTTCTGCTTGAGATAGAGAGGAGAAGCAAGAAAAAACACGATAGCCGAGAGCAACATTACGATTGCTGGAACTCCAAAGCCCACTCTCCATCCAAGATGATCTTGAATGTAGACAATACCTGTCAACGCAATTAGAACAGAAATAGCTGCTGAAGCATAGTACCAGCCGAAGAAGCTTTCTAGGACCCTGTCATTTTTTGGGTTATCTCTTCTGTCCAATTGGTCAGCTCCAAATGCCAAGGAGCATGGTCTAACACCACCAGCTCCAATGGATATGAGAACAAATGAGCAGGTCAATAGAGTCATTTGAGCCGCTGTTGGAGATCTGCAGCTCTGAGTCAGTAGATCGCAGGGGGAAGGCTTTGACTGTGGAATCATTGCTGTTAACCACAAAAGTATCATCCCCTGTAGCATTGAAGGTCAGGATGATTCTCATGACTAAGCACAACACAGTGCATTTAAATCAAATCGTACATATGGTGCAGGGCGTTGGCTGAAGTTACTTATAATATACCATGAAATTGTTGAAAAATTAATGAATTGAATATATGGAATAATATGCATGAATGCATCTCGTGTAGGAATTCTAAAAAGTTTTGAAACCTCTACATATCAAGAAGGTAGAGAGCACAATATATTTAACTATCCAAATTCAAGTTAAAATCAAATGGAAATATTGTTGTAATTCGGTTTTCACACGAGTTTCTTCAAGGAAAAGTCACTCTCTAGGAGGTCTGTGACACTTAGCCATAAATCCATAATCATCTTAATTTAGTTAAACATGCACACCTTCCCATAAACCCAAGCAACATACACCCTAAAAGTTTATTAATCTTTTACTGTTTAGTTCATACAAAAATATCCAACAGAAAAGTCTTTGATTTAATAGTGAATCTCACCCAAAAGAATGGTCTGAGATTTGACTCTTAGATAATGAGATCATTTACATTTGTCTACCAGTTTATGCCATAGGCATGCATCAAGAAGGCAATTAGAAATTCAGAATTTAACCTAATCGCAGGCATTAATCATCTCTTGACCGGCCACTTCTGAGAAGATATGGAGTCCTATATTCAAACACACACATATGCAAGCACAAGCTACCTTCTTGATGAAACAAATCAATAAATAACACACGCATGGTCATAGAATCACCCTCTTCCCATTCTGGTGGATATGAGATGCTAATGGCGATTAAGTGCACTAGCAAATCGGGCCCAAATGAAGTAATCTACTCTCTCAATTATAAATGAATAAATCATGAATGGCAATAGGATTGCCATCATTCAATTCTTGTGAACTTAGGAGGCTAATTAATGGACCACAAATCCATTAGCAAATCGTGCCTAAATGAACTTAGAAGACCAAACTAGCTCTAATATGTAATGATTCGGAAGCCACGTTGTTCACACCCTCCCATCACTTAGATATATTGGATTGCACCAGGCTGGACCGGTGCTGAAAAAGGCTCTTTGTATAGATTTTTGTTCAATAACCAAAAAATGGGGTCAGATAATCAAAGGTAACTTTTGCAAAAAGCCGGTCCAGTGCTGCTGAACAAAAAATGTATCCCTTCACAATTTTTTGCTTTGGTTGCAGCTTTGTCAGGGCTGGTAACAGGGTCCATCAAAGGAAACTTTTGCACCAAGTCGGTCCAACGCTGATAAACATGATATGTTTACCCTCAGAGATTTTTTGTCTTTAATGGGTAGCAGCGTTGTCAAAGCCTGCACCGACGTGTGCTGAGGCACAGAATAAATCAACTAAAGCGCCTTAGGCTCCATAGGGCAGGACGCCTTTGATTAGACAGACCACTTTTGTGCCTAGGTACACTCTTCTGTAAGGTAAGGTAAAAAAAAAAAAACACATGTCTAACTTTACTGCCCCTTTTTCTTGGTAGTTTTAGGTTTCGTTAGGTTTTTAGTTATAATTTTAGTAAAGAGAAAAAAAATCAATGCAAACTCTTTTTAGAGGAATAAAGAAAAAAATGGGTATTATCACGCCCACATCAAATTTTCTTAAATTTTTCCATTCACTCTCCCTAAGCATATATAAATCATCAAAGCTATTGTGATCCACAGACACTCGAACAATTGCATTTTATCTGAATATTTTGGTCTTATTGTTTGAAAAAGAAGTTTTGGTACAAGAAAGGAGCATTATTGTTCAAGTCCGAGGCCTACACCGAACAACCTCCACCCACCACAACCACCCCAGCTTTACCTCGGGTGGCATGTATATTAGACTTTATAATATGAACAAGAAAGTGAATTAAGAAGAGAAAGTAGTCTCCAGGGCCATGACCCATTTTTGTCACCAGGCTTTATTCCCAATAATGATGAACTGATAGTAGTACGTTCGGGCGGCAGGGCCAAAAAGTCAGATGTTTCCTATATTCACGTGGGCTGCCGGGACAAACCCTTTGTGACAGGCGCTAACTTAGCAAATGGAATAAACTAAAACAAGATCCGAAGGGACATTCTTCCTTAAGCTAAAGCTGGCCATTATCACCTAATTAATTAATTGCTTTACTTGTTAACAAGTACATTAAATTATTGTTTTACTTGGAAGCTAGACTTCCAACTTCCAACTAGACTACACGTGGAATCGATGACCATTAAGAAGAAAATGATATGACTATTAACTCAAGAATATCATAGAACTTAATGGAAATGGCCTTAAAAAGATAGAAGATTTCAG